TATTAAATATTAGGACATAAGGATTCAGTGTTAATGGAGCATTTTAGAAATAGTAAATGAAATGCCAGTATGTGGTTATGTATTAAATCTTGGTATATTTTATGGTATAGTTTAAACTTGGTATAGTTTAAACAATTATAGTCAAATGAAAATGGGGGTATGATGATGGTAACAAGTATAAATATCTGAGTTAAAATATTTGACTTAATATGAATTATGTTTGTTGACTGTGGAAGAGATGCACGAAAGTCTTTTTGTAACCAACTGATACACTTTCTACAGTATATAAAGAAGGATGTGTTGTGTTTGTTTTGAAGATTAAAAATAAAAAAAATATTTAAAAAAATAAAGACACAGACCCATCTCTCTCTTTCACTTTACTTTCTTGATGTTAAGTAGGGATATAACTCCTTCCTTTATTTTTGACTTAACAGAGCACCATTTTCTGTTATTTGTCTACTATAGATTATGTTTCCTGTGGCTTACTGCAGCATTGTGTACTGGATGACAGCGCAGCCCTCTGACGCTCTGCGATTTCTCCTGTTTGCAGCACTGGGGACCATGACATCACTTGTGGCTCAGTCCCTTGGACTTCTGATTGGAGCAGCATCCACCTCACTTCAGGTCTCTTCTGCTTTATGTGATCTTCTGTATCTTTTTCATTGGATCAACCTGATGTCGTCCAAGAGGCTTGGGATTTCCAATGCCATTGTTTCTAGCCAAAGGTTGGGGAATGATGAATTGGTAGCTGGAACTGAACTGTACTCATTATGTTTTTGCAGTCCATACCATATGTCACTAAAACAGGGTTGTTGTTTTTTAGTCAATATGATTCTCATAGAAGTTTGATCCACAGTTTGATTTGTTAATTTAAAAAAAATATTTGTTTTTTTTAAGGTGGCAACATTTGTTGGTCCTGTTACAGCAATCCCAGTTCTTCTCTTCTCAGGATTTTTTGTCAGTTTTGATACCATTCCTGCTTATCTCCAGTGGCTGTCCTACATCTCTTATGTCAGGTACATCTGAAGGGTGCTTCTTGTTTTTTCAAGCTAACTCTGCAAAGGCTTTTAGACCATCCTCTTAGAACTTTATTTATTTACACAGAGCTAGCTATTTTCATCTTTAACTATTCTTGGTATGTGTATTTGTATATATACACAGATACACATGCTGTGCAAACATGCATTCTTGTGCTTCTAAAAAAAATGAGCATGCAGAAAAGCTGTATATACTTTCACCCTATGGAGTCTAGATATGGGTAAGCCAGTTTGATTTGCTGGATATCTGAAATTGGACCTGAGTTATACAGCCTGAGTTCAAAGCTTGGATCAGCACAAAGCCTCTGAACTACTTTGGGTCACGTTACTTGTTTTCAGCCTTATAATCAATGCATCTCTGCTGACCATGAGGGGTAAAAAAATATTTGTTGAGACAAAACCTGCATTTTCAATTGGAGAGGTTTTTGTAAAAAAATAACATTTTTTAAATTAATTCAACTATATGTTCAATATCTGTTTATAGTCTTTATTTTATTTATTATTAACTGCCTTGAGTGCCCAGCAAACCAAAATATAAAATACTAATCAAATAATTCTGTTGCTATACATTTCTGGCATTTCTTTGCTAGCATGGTGCTTGCTTTGAGTTTGACCTTGCAAATGATTCCTCCCCATAGGTATGGATTTGAAGGTGTCATTCTTTCCATCTATGGTTTGGATCGAGAAGATCTTCATTGTGACAAAGATGACACTTGCCATTTTCAGAAGTCAGAGGCTATCCTCAAAGAATTGGATGTAGAAAATGCTAAACTTTATTTGGACTTCATTGTGCTTGGAATTTTCTTCATCTCCTTACGTCTCATTGCCTATTTTGTTCTCAGATACAAAATTCGAGCAGAGAGATAGAGAACAAATGTGATAACATGAAGTTCTAGACTGTTGCTCTCTGGTTGTGGCTAATGAGTTTTCAAAGCTCGGTTGCAAATCATGTTGTCTTCTGACTCCTAGAAGAACTAAAATGGAAACTTGTTCCAGTTTTGAAAAATACCACTGCTGATCCCAAGAGTTTCCTCTCCTGGAAAATGTATTTCTTCTAAGGTAGCTGTAAATCTGACAATTAGAATGAGAATGTCTATCTTTTATTATAAGGGAAAAACATGAAATGTTGTGTCATCACTTCTTGCTGCATCTTACAAGTGTTTTTCCCACAAGAAATCCCGCAGTTAGTCTACACACTTTTCCAGTTGTATGAAAAGGTGCTCTATAAACCGAATGTTTAAAAATAAAGAAGTGAGAAATCTGATATTAGTTCTCCTTAATACCCAGCTTTAGAGCTTTAATCATATGAGCTGGTCTCATGTACCAAATTTTTAATATTGTATCATATTACAGTGAATGATGTAGAAGAATTTGAAAATCAATATGCATACCTAGCTCCTTTCTCCTAGCATTCTGTTTTTGTAGTGTCTTTTCAGTTCCAGTTTCTTGTGGAATTTCAAATACTTACTGTCTGTTTTATCTATTTTCTGTGAATGCAAAACCCAATGCAAAATGGAAACCAATCTCAAAGCCTATTTGAATACTCTAGCATGTTTTTAATAACACATATTCTAAAAAGAGAAAGGACCGCTCGTAGTTTGGTGTTTGGTATGATGAATGCTTAAGGACTTAATTAAAAAGGTCTCGGTGAAATGTATGTGCCCTGCCCAGCAATATACATAATACTGTATACAAAACCTATTATTTTTGTTTTCATCATTTATGATTTTCTCAAAAAGAAATTCAAATCATGCTATTTTTACATTCCAGCAAAGCTAGGTGATTCCAAACCCATTCATAATTTTTTCCCTCACTCACTTTTTGCTGTATTCCAACCAAATTTATCTAAACAGTTTTTGTTACCAGTTTGACATCTAATTTGACAACTGAGATGTGTAAACTGATGCCGATTACTAGAAGTGCCTACATCCTGATTTCAAATATTAGCTGTACATAGCACTTTGTCTCAGAACATTATTTGATAAAAATAATATTATAGGAAAAAAGACTAGCACTTTGGGCCAGACTTATCTACCTCAGTGCAATGGATTCAGATTGATTTATTAGAGAAACCGATTAAGCTGTTTTCAATCCAAAACAAATTCAAGTTGTGTGTTTAGAAATCAGATCAAATGGCTGTTTCCACCAGAGGCTGTTGTTGAATGGATACTAAATCACCCAAGCCAAATCTCCAGAGTTTAGCTAGAGCATCAAAGCAAACCAAATAGAAATTGAAACAAAAACAAGGCTATAAATTTGAAGATAAATTTGTCTTATCTATATTGTAAGATTTGCCCCTTCCACAGTTCTTCTAGACTAGTACATGTTCATGAAGAGCATAGTTTATATTGCTGGAAAACAGTTAAGTAATTAGGATTGTATTCATTGGCAAAGCCAAAGTCCTTCTCTCCCCATAATCCTAGTCTTCTAGTCTTAACTTTAAAGTACAAAAATAAAAACAGACACTGTTCTTTAAATTAGCAACTTAGTCCAGACATATCACAGGATTCAAATCTGTACCACTAATTAGATACTTGTAGGTTTGTATCCAGAAACCATTAAGAACTTATTTTGTAAATTAACAACAAATATGTAACAACATTTGTGATTAGTCCACACAACCTCCAAGAATGTAATTACATACCTTCAACAACAAAAAAACTTTTTTTGTATATTTTGGAGGATAATTGGCCTCAAAATCAGTAGATGGATTATCACCAGATTTGGAAGAGTCACACAAGAAGTGCTTTCCAAGAAACTCCTCTGGTGTATCTGCTAATTGACAAGTAAGGCATTCACGGGAACTGAACATCCTTTCATGGAATACTGCAAGTTGGTACTGCAAGTGTAGGGATAAATCATTTATGGATTATATCTCTAAATATAACATTATTTTTGTTACAGGAAACATGGGCCCCAGAGAATATGGGGCTTGATAATTTTGCAATGCATTCTCTGAATGCTACTAGATTAAGGAAAGTGGGGAGGAGGCCAAGTGGTGGGTTTTTCAAATAAGATCCACCCTGTGGTGAGTAATCTAAAATCCTATAATCAATTTGCAATTATTATAAACCTTTGAGTTGGCCACCTCCACATTCTTCCATCACGTTATAAAGCAGGTGGAAGGAAACTGATTTATATTTGGACTATATATGACATCTGTAATAATTGTTTTTATGTCCAGTGTGATGTATCCAGTTGGATTATGTAATCATTCCCATATTCTGATATTATATTGGATCAAGTCACTAATAAATTCCTAATTCTTTTGAAAAAGAAAAAATACAATCCACATTAAGCCCCTTTAAGTTCTGTGATGTTAGTTAAACTTAGCTAGTTTAACTTGATTGTGGTGTTTCTAAGAGATTATTAGATAATTTGTTAACATGCCAGGATTGTCTATTATCAAGTTTAAAAATACAGCTGTCCTAGATACTGCAGTTCCATTCTTAAACCAAAATTATAATTGGCATGATATTTCCACAATGAAGAAAATTATGTTATAAATTGTAAATCTACATGAATTATTTCCAGCAGTGGAAACTGGAAGAAATTACTGTGAGAAATTAGTAAACAAAAATGATTTCACATATGGCAAATGTAACATAAAAATAAGCATTTTTTTCTTGTTGACATCCCTGAAAATATCTTAAATATATTATGCGGTGAGAATCTACAATAGACAAGCATTATTAGGAAGTCACATACAGCTATTACAACTGAGGTTGTTCAGGACCTCCCTTGCTTTTCAGTTAGAGTAGTGAGAACGTCTGTTTCACACATTTTGGGAGTGCACTGCAGGAGGGAAGGATTCAGGAGTGCTCCCTATGGTATTATTGGCTTTTATAGTATGTTTTAATCTGAAGACAAAAAACACTTGTATTGCTACAGACAAGCAGGAATCTTGTCCCTTGCCCACCTCAATACTATTTATTAATTGCATATATATTTGCATATATCTGAGCTTAGCTTAGAACCCAGCTAAGTATGTGGGGAATCCCCTGGATGAGATCATACAACACACTAAACTATAAATTAGCTAATCACAATTTAGTTTAAAGCATCATGAAATTCCAGTCTGTTCAGCTAGTTTATGATTCACTGTGTTATACGAATCCAGAAAATTGGATCAATGGGGTAAACTATTATTCTAATAAACAAGCTTAAGCATGTTATGCAAATATAGCCTTTTGGTTTATTGCATTTTTACGTGAAACTTGCTATTTTCAGAAATATCAGAACGATGTATAGAGATCATGAAACTTTTCAGTTAATGTGCATATTCTAAGTTTCATGCTATACATATCCTGCTTTTCTTTTAGGAAGTATATTCTATTGAGCTCCATGCCTAAGTATGCTTAAATTTTGGTAAACCCCTATCGCAAAAAGCACCCAACAAAATTTCTTATTTGTAGTTTTAAAACAAATAATGGATTATTATTATTATTATCATCATCATCATCATCATCATCATCATCATCTGAGGCATCTTTAATGGTGAGAGAGGAATTACGGTATCACCTGTATGTGAGTATCAATGTGACAGTATTTTTGACATCTTTTGTTTTTAAATTATACCTTTTGTGCAATGTAGATTCCTAGTTGTGATGAGTTGTTGTCCTAAAAACCTACTTACTTATTTAAGACATTTATGCATATGTGTGGTTTTCCTTTCCTTTCTTTTTCTTTTTTTAAGAAAAGCAAAAGTCAATGCAAGTAATTTCAAAACCTCAGCGTGCTAAAGAATGCATTTACTGTATAATAAACAGTTCTTCTGTCTTGGTTGTGTAATGCACACTGCATTACTTTGAATTCCTGTTGGTTTTGCTATTCTAGAGGCTGCTGCTGCTTGCACGCTGTGATACATTTGCACTGTTGTAGATACATGTAAACATTGTCTTTTTTCCAGGTGGCTTGTTTATCTTTTATAGTTCTGATGATAATAACTAACTGAACTATGAGTACTTTGATTCATGTATTAGAAGATTTAGGATGTTGGGCATTCTAATTCTGTATTTTGCATAAACTAACAAACTGCTTTGTATATTTCTGACTGTATAGTTGATTTCCTGTAGAATATTTGTATGTGCATTATTTTCCAGGTTAGAACTCATTTTCTGAAAATGGAGAAACCTTATGATAATGCAACAAAGGAATAATTAAATAAAAGCATTGATATTTTCAAACTGGTGTCTTTCTCCTGTTTCAGTGAGACTTCAGTTTTCAGCTTTTGAAGTTTTCTTTATCCCAGTATTAAATACATATCCCTTTTAGAATTTTCTCTTCTTTCTCTTTTCCTTTGCTTCCTGTTTTTGCCTCTTATTTCTTCTTTTTTTCTTATTTCGTCCTTCCTGTAGAATTCATGAGGCATATAAATAAAAACACAATGTGAGTTCTAAACCATCCAACAAATGTAAGTTGGCCAGTAGGCAAAAACCAGGTTTCTCTTTATGGTGTTTTTTTAGAATATAGTCAAGTTGTACACTAGAGGGTGCTGCATTCTTCAATAAACAATGAAATTAAGTCTTGCTGAAATTAAATTTCCCTCATAACATTTCTCTGTAATGGATTCTGCTTCCATGCTTCTGTATTTTCAGGGGAGAAAAGGGATTAGAACTGTATACTTTTTATTTTTTAAAAAATTAAAAAAACATTTTTCAAAAAAATAAAATACATACTGTATTTTTTGGAGTAAAAGTTACACTGGAGTATAAGACACACCAAGATTTTGAAGAGGCAAATTTTAAAAAAAAAAGTTTTTGTACTCTGCAGACCTCCTAAAAATGGCACGTTTTTCACAAAAGCAGGCCCATTTTTTGTCAAAAAGAAGGG